ACCATGTGACATCCTCTATTCGTAAAAATTGGCACTAACTTCACCAACAAGCGGTGATTGCTCAGTCAGCATAGTTCACTTGCAGACTACAGGCCATGGAGTTTTTTTTTGGTTTAGAACAGATAACTTACGTTCATTTTAAATGAATCACAGATATTCTGCTTAGATTTTGAAGAAGTAGTGCAATGTCTGTCCTGCCTGAATGTTCAAGTGTCGGGCAAGGTGATCTGTTACAATGCTACACGACACAGAGGCAATAATAGATGTTGCATACAAGAAACCAAGAACTTCTTGACCATAACATGTATAGATGTTATATACAGTAAGTTTGTTGCTGGGAATTCTCAAGATCTGTGCTAACTAATTCAGTCACTAAGTATACTAAAGTATTCTGAAAATAAAACGTTGCTCATACCAGAGTCTGCCATTTGACATGCATTTGTTCATATTGCGACATGAGAGCAAGAAGAGACAGCAATCACTAGCTAATGGCAAGCTAAACATGTTTCCTCAGCAGTGAATTAACATGCGATAGAGTACTCTTGGATGTGGAGTTTCTGTAGTTCATGCTGAGGGTATATACATAATTACAATTCTAACAGCGATTACAGGATAGATGCACAAAGCCTGAAACCTCCCATAGATGTCAGACAGTAAAATGTGGACATGAGTTACATAGGACTCAGAACCAAGAATCAATGCTGGCAAGGGCCAGCAGCAATTTAGCAGCTTCATCAGTTTGTACAAACAAGATAAATCCCCTTCAAATCGAACTGTATTGCTGTGATTGACTTTGTTACCTGATGTTAGTCAAATGTGCATACCAAATTTAATGAGAATCGGTTCAAAATTAAAAGGGTGGGATATCATTGTAATATCACCTACAATTTGTAGACAAAAAGAGGGACAAGATTACATTAAAGTTATGACAGCTTCAAAGTGAAAGCCAAATACTCAGGTTATGTAATTTGGTGATTATAGAATTGTTCCATACATAATGTTGCATGTGTTTTGAAAATAAAATTCCAAAGAACCAGCTATTAGTTTCTTTGTGTCTGTGTGCATGTTCATTCATCCAAAAGTTTTTGTTACAATGTTAGCATTTAGTCAATTTTATGGATGTAAATAAACTTTCTTCATGCATGTTTTGAGCCTTTTCATAAAACTCTGTATGCTTGGCATGAGTTATATTACCACGTTTCACTTGCTTTACTGATTTTAGGGTTACTTTACTTCATGGGTCTGACTGAATTATGTGTCTCAAGTCCTTTGACGGATTTTGATTGAACTATACTAATGGTACTTTATGTTCTGTGAATATTACTACCGAATGTGAGTTTTGTTCACTTTAATTCACTGTAAGGCCCACATTACACATAGGTATGGGAGAATTTTTGTGTACCTTTTACCATTCACCTATGAGAAAAGCGTCTTCAGTAAAAGTTATCTGGTCCATAAAATAACGTAAAACTTGAGTTACAGAGAATCACTAATTTAATGCTGCCTACTGTGGGGACACCATCAGAAGCACTGTGTAACATCCAGCTATGTCACTACCATCTAGCTGATGCCTACTCAATTTTACAATGCATTGCAGTTGTGTAGATAAGACACCTGTACAACTGAAAACACCTTTTTGTTGCCACCAAAAATGTGCATATGTTTATTAGTGTACCCATAGGAGCTTCAGTCTGAGCTTCAAATAAAATGGGGGATACATGGGACCAGTAAGAACCAAAACAAAATGTTACATTAGTTTGATGTTTTGGAGCAGTCCTAACATCTGCACACCGACTGCAGATACACATAACATATACTTATTTAAAATCATATGGTTTTTAAAGTATGCCCTCCTGAAATGAGATTTAGGAATTTAACTTGACAATACTAAGCACGAGGAGCTTCATAACGTGTACTCTTCGTCATGTATAATTAGAATGATCAAGTCAAGGAATATGAGATGGGCAAGGCATATAGCACAAATGTGGGAGAAAAGGAATGCATATAGGATATTGATGGGAAAGCAAGAAGGAAAAAGACCACTAGGAAGATCAAAACATAGGGGAGTGGACACTATTAAAATATATCTTAGAGAGTTAGGTTGGGATGGTATGGACTGGATGGATATATCTCAAGACAGGGACCAGTGGAGGGCTCTTGTGAACACAGTAATGAGCCTTATGGAACCTTCGAGTTCCATAAAATTCTGAGTAGCTGCACAACTGACGGCTTCATAAAGTTAGGTTAGTTATACAGGAAGATCGAAAAGTCGCACACATCAAACTAAAAGTTGTTATAAATTGTATTGCAGTTGATATAATTAATCTCCTACCGAGAGATGGTACTGTAGGAGTGCTAACAATGAGTAGAAACGCCATCTGTCATGTATTGGTCATATGGCGTCTGCAGTATAGCTTTGTTTACTGCGTGACAGACATGTCGTTTTCCCAAGAATGAGTTTTCATTGTGGAACATTATTTTGCCAGTTGTTCTTATGCATGTGTCGCAGACGAGTTTCGTTGGAAATATCTGGATTCTGTAGTTCCTAACAATTCGACAATAATGAGAAAAATCAACCGATTTCAGGAATGTGGATCAGTTTCAGATAGTAAGAGATCCGGGAGACCGGCCATTTTGACTGAGGCTAAACTGGCTGACGTGGAGAAAATGTTGCAGCATTCCCCTTCAAAAAGCCTGAGGAGACTATCAGCGCAATCAGGGATTTTATACGGAAGCACTCAGAAAGTGATGAAGTTACACCTTTGTGCATATCGTGTTTGCTCTGTGCAGGAACTGAAGGACCTGGATAAAGAAAAATGCTTCGTATACTGTAGATGGTTACAGACACTTTTTGGCAACCATGGAATTGAAGAGTTTGATCAGGTTTTCTTCACTGACGAAGTGTGGTTTCACCTTAGTGGCTACATGAACAGGCAAAACAATAGGATTTGGTCATCTGAAAATCCACACGTGTTACATGAAAAGCCCTTGCACTGTCAGAAAATTGGAGTGTGATGTACTGTATCATGTCCTTGAACAGTGAACAGTCCAGTGTACCAAGACATCATTACACAGTTCACTGTGCTTCTTGAAGATGATGAACGTGAGTGTTTGTTGCAGCAAGACAGTGCCACGTGTCACATATCTAATGAAACCATGCAGTTTTTTTTGCGAGTTTTTCGGTGACCATCTCATTTCGAAAGGATTGTGGCCCCTGCGTTCGCCCAATTTGTGACCTGCAGAATTTTTCCTTTGGGGGGGTACCTCAAAGGAATTGACTATAAAAACAATCTGCATACAATGGATGACCTAAAGAGGAACATTATGACAGCGATTAACAGCATCAGTTTACAGGTGCTCCTCAAAGTGGCCTCAAACATGGTAAAAAGAGCTCCCACATGCATTGCTGAACAGGGAAGCCATTTTGAGCATATGTTGTAAAGACATAATTTGATTTTGCATTTCTAAGCTTTAAGGTTATGAACAATAATAGTCAAGTACTGTATGTCTTGTAGTTTGCGCATTAAACCAGCAAAATACTATAATTGCTTAGTGTGAAGTGCGCGACTTCTCGATATCCCTGTACTAAGCATGCAATGAGTGTAACCTACATTTATAATGTACAACTGAATACACTAAGTTCATCAGATATTTCTTTAATTGGTTTTAGAAATACACTGATCACAGCTCATTGTTTATTACATGTAACACAAACAGTAAGCAATACATTAATTACACTTCCCTTGTGATCAAATGTTTCACATGTATCAGACCATTGCTGAAATTATTTAGTATTTGATTTTATATACAGTAATGTTTGACTGGTAAATATCTGCATAAATTACTAGACTATTATATTATGCATAATTAATTAAGAAATCAAATAAAGAACACCAGTGGACATCTCCAAATTCCATTATAATCAACGTACCCAACAACATTTACAGCAAACTATGGACTGACTGGTGCTTAAATTATATTACACCTGCTTCATGTAACAGACAAGGTGACTAAATATCTCAACTTACAAAAGTGTACTGTATATACTGTGTGGTACCTACTTGCACTGCTACATTAGAGAAATCCACGTTAACTGCCTGTAGAAAATAGCACTCCTGGAAGGAACAATATTGGTTTAATTTATTAGAAGATAGTTGGAGAGACAGAAGAATAAAGTGGTTACTACTCTTTACAGTACTGCATATCTATCAGTCTTTAAACTGAAAATTAATAGTACAGAAGAATACAATTGACTCAAGGCTTAAAAACTGTTATCAAGTAAAAATTTAATAAATTCCTTACATAAGTAGGACTCTTTTAAATTCTCAAGTGCTACTGTTCACCAACTATTCTGGGCACAAAATGCCTTTGCATTTTATTTTTTTGTGATGATTTATTATTTTGTCTCAATATGCAAACTCAGTTACTGGTACCCATTCCAGTATATCAAATTTAGAGCTTGTTTCCCAGACAGTTTTAGGGGGACCTGTGTTTTCCAAACCCTAAACAACTCTCCTCAGATATGACACATAAGAAGTGCATTTGTTAATAATCTTTCCAGTACAGACAATACAGCTGCCCCCTAAAAACTTATGCACAACCACGATCTGTCGTCTTCATGCATGAATTTCAAAACAGTGTTAGATATCAACACTATATGAGAAATTGGGAAGAATGTAATGAAAGAATGACCTTGGAAAGTCACATACCATTCAGATATAAAAGTGAGGAGGAAGGACACTTAGGAAGACCTCCTCCAAAAAAAGATTCTCATGAAAGGCAAACCAGACTTCATACTGGAAGGAACGGTGATGCCCTTTAAGTCACCTGGTGATAGATGTGCAACTACTTAAAGAGGACATATTGATTTTCCATACAATGAATACATATGTCTGGAAAACAGAGCGTTCCACACTATGGCAAAAACTACAACTAAATCAGATATAAACATTCTGCATGTAACCATGCACTGTAGGAATTAACAATCAAAATTCTTCCTATTTGTGAAAGGATAATGTTAAATTTTCTCTGTCAAGACTTCGTGGACATGTGACATTCATTGTGCCACATTTATTTGAAAGCCCTTATTTGGGAGATTTAATCACTGTCCTACACCTTCCAAGACAGTCATTCCAACTGATCTGAGGTAGCCACATACAGCTACAGCTGAATTCCCAAATATCTGATAGAAGGCAAGTATTACAACAGCATGGTGTCAAATGCATATTAACTTTGCACACATTATCTTGCTGAAATACTGGTAGTCTGCAGAACATTCAAAGTCATATGACTGCTATGACATTTAGTTCAAGAAATGATCAAGTGTTCAATTCATGAAGTGCTTACATGAATGTATGCATAATTACAGTACAGTTATATATTTTGCAGCAAAGAGCTCAGTAACGACTTGAAGACATTTGGGCACGGATAGTGGCAGCTGCTGCATTTGTAGCTGCAGTCTGGACGTGTTCATTGCGCAAAAATTCAGTCGTAAACTCCTGCTGGGCTTTAGCAAAGCTCGCTCCTGTACTACGATATATACGATGAATCTATTGTGAAGTAAAAGGAATACAAAAAATGTGAGCAGCATAATTAACATATACATATAAACTGTTATACACCATTAAAAAAAATGCCATAAATTTAACACCATGTATGGGACATATGTCACACTGAAGTGTTTAGATGATGGTACCCCAGAATCTGTCCACTGATAATGACAAAATTCACAGTTCTTAAAATGATGTTCAAAAGTAAGATAAAATATTTGGCTGCGCCATAGCTCAAGTGGTTAGTCACTGGCTTTCCACTGCAGCGGCCCAGGTTCTATCCCGGGTCTGGTCAGGTGGGATTTGTGGTGGACAAACTGGCGCTGGGGCAGGTTTTCTCCTAGTACTTCAGTTTCCCCTGCCAATCTTCAATCCACCAAATTCTCAATCATCATAATCATCCAGGGCAGGTACAATAGGCCAATCAGTGGCTGCTGTGCTGAGTGGACCCAGTTGGACTCCACCCTCCACTAAGCAAAAATTAACACTTTGCGGACCAGACGCATGATATGATGCTTTTCGCTTTTACACATGGCTGACCAATCGCATGATATCATGATTTTAGGACACGTTAGGTTGTAACACACTATGCCTTGCTCTGGCGCCATGCAACTGCAATGAACAGTGCATAATAAATCTTCGGAATGTATGCTAGGTATTCAGTCACTTGACCTGACTAGCTAGGGTCCCTACTCCAAAAGAAAATAAACTTTGCCCCTTCCAGCTGTTTATGTACCAGGCAGGAAGTTAGTAGAGGGGAATATGTTCAAAGACAAAAGCGGTTGAAGGCAAAGCAATCTCTCTGATGGCTATCTGATGGGCCTTGTGGAGGAGTAGTGATTAGGGACTCAGTGGAAGTGACAGGGGTCAACAAAGAATTGTGGCCAGAGATAATAAAAGTGAAAGTTGCCTTGTGGCTTATAAATTGTGCCATTCTCACTTCATTTTTGGTTTACAAAAATCTAAACCCAGATTCAAAATTGAAATACAAAGCATTTCTGATGAATGTGGCAAAGGCTTGGGCTACAGACCAGGTGGTGGCGGCAGAACCAGAGTCAGACAGACTTAGCGCAGCCTAGCCCATCAACTTCCACCCCACGCAGGACACCCCTGGGCGAATGTCAGGTGATATGTGGAAACATACCCTCCTGAAAATTGTGAAGACTGAACATTCCAAGGGGAAGCATCCTTCTAGGCAAAGCCATGTTTGCGCAGTTCACAAAAAAGGGCTGACTGTCTACATTTGCAACTGTGTAATGCCACTTCACAAAGGGGAATGTTTCCAGAAATATCACACTCTCAAGCACTTCTAGGAGCATTGGTAAGTGTTCTCCAAAAATTTTAGTTCATAAAATTAATTAGGAGATTTTATATTAATTTTTAAAGTGAACAGTGCACAAGTTAGGGTAGTAGGTATAAAAATGCCGGTCCCCAGGGTGATTTAAATATTTAAATTGCCGGTCCACAAAGCGTTAAGATAAAATATTTATCTCTCAATTGTGGTCATGGTACTAATACAGGAATAGGCAAAAACATACCAGGAAGTGGAAAACACTATTAAAAGAAACCTCTGAATATTCAGATGAAACTACTTCTCAATTACAATACACAAATACTAGGTGAACTAATGGGACATAAAAAGCATTAATACAGATCCCATATCAGTTATATTTAATTTCAGAGAAAGTCACTCCTAGGTCTGAAAATACAACTTAGAATGAAATCATATAGCTGAAAGAGCAATGATTAGCATATTTTCTTTTTATTATAAACGGTGATTTCATTCAAGTGTACAGTATTCAGACAGTAATGCCAATTCTGCCTCTAAAAAGGGGGACAGAAACATGTAACAACTACAGAAACATTCCTATGCAGTCTATAGTATCAGCATGGTAAGACACCACTGAATCTGTATAAAACAGAGAACGAGAGTCCTTTAAAGACCCTACACTCTTGAATGGTAGTGAAATACATTTTCCCCCAGTCAGGCCCTGTTTTGAAATGAAACGTAAGTAATAAGAAGAAATAACAAAAGATCAGAAACAGCATACATTATATTTCTTACATCACTACTGAAAGTAACTTTAAGGCTGGGGCCACACGAGCGCACAAAATGCGTCTGTTGTAGAAATAAACAAGAGAGGCGAATGCTACGCTTTCTTCTGGCTCCATTGCAGACAAAAAACTATGCACCGCATTCTGCAACTGTGTGGTGTCCTCAGCAATGTCCGTCATAAAGTACGTTCGTTGCAACGGACGTACTTCGTGCGCTCGCGTGGCCCCAGCCTAACAGTATAAAACACCACCACCAGGAGGAGGAAGAAGACAATTATTATTATTATATTTCAAAAACACAGAACTCCTGCATATTGTCACAGGAATGCAGTGCAGTGTGATTGTGTTGCAGTTAAGCAACATTAAGTGCAGTGCAGCGCAGTCAAGAGAAAAGATAAGTGTATTATTGTGACAACTGATGTTCCTGTGAAGGAATGAGCAGGCAAAGAGCTGATTTCAAGAATATAAGTGGTTACAGATGTTGGACCAGTAATGGTTCCATAAATTGATACTCATCAAAATATGTATGTAAAGACCAACTGACCTTCTGACCCTCACAATGGCCTTCAAAGCACCCAGTCCCTAAGAAAGAAAACTCACAAGATAACGCAGAGGCACCATCTTGGTCTTTCCAAATTAAATCCCCCATTTAGGTAACCCAGTGTCTTCTAAGCAAGCAAGTAATACACGGCAGAAAATGTTCCCAAAGAAGCCATGTCAAATTAAAATATATACCCACTAAGAATTGTATGAAAGTATGGATGCCAGCAGGAAGGGCAAGTTTGTGAGCATCTTTTTTTCTTAATTTTCTACATCACTCTCAAAAGAAATTCTGTCAGTGTTGATGTATGAAGGACTTGGCTTACTTAAGAATGCATTTTCAATTCAGACTTCATGGAGTATCACATGATAAGATCTGTGAATAAAGAACTGAGGTCCAACTAAATATCCTATTTCACAAGAAGTCCATCATAACAAAGAAATGTTACAATAACATTATTAATGAAGCTTAAAGATGTTAAATATGGGGCAACATATTGAAACACTGTACAGATAAATTTCTAAATCATGATAAGACACATATCACTTTGAAGAGACAGTGATAACACAGGGAGATAGTGGTATCAGTGTCAGTTTCACTATCAAATACTCAATAACAATCTGTACAAGTGGAGGTTGCTGTCAGCTTCACATTTCAGTACACTGTCACACTGTGCAAGATAAAATTCAAAGTCTTCTTGAGAGGAAATGTACATTTCTTGCTTCCACACACCCTTTGGGTGGGGTCATGATGAATATATTCTTAAGGTTAATGAAATGCCAATTAAACATGATGTAAGCATGTAAAGAAATCTGTTTTTAAGACTGAAATATTAAGGTTATCACACATGTTCATGCATGTCTTTGTGTCTATCCCATAAACAACTTGAATCACCAATTTTGCATAAAACACATGTCAAAGAGCAATGCCACCTTCACTTCCCTATCATCAACCCTATACAATACAGACTTTTGAGGGGGGGGGG